TTCGTAACTCGAGGCGGAGTTCGCAAGTCGAGGTAAATTTTTGGGGCCGGTGCTGTCGTATCTTGAAAAATTCGTAAGGAGGGGCGTTCGTAACTCGAGGCGGAGTTCGCAAGTCGAGGTAAATTTTTGGGGCCGGTGCTGTCGTATCTTGAAAAATTCGTAAGGAGGGGCGTTCGTAACTCGAGGTACCACTGTACGTGGGACCGTACTGGCTCAATTTAGACTTCAGGGCCCTCAAAAACACCAGTGGACTCCTAAACAGACTGTTAATCCCCCCAAAAACATTCCTTGAAGCCTCTTATTTCTGTGCCTTCCAGATCTGTGGTTCTAGGTCCACCATCATTCCTGTGGCCTTAGACAAGACTCAGATGAGTCCCACTCGTCCTGCTGGGCCCTAGTCCCCGGTTCCCATCAGTCTCTAAAGCCTCCTTGGCTCATCCTCTGAGTATGACTGCACCATGGGAACCTTAAGGGTAAAACTATATTTTATATCTTGAAATTCTACCCAACATTTTACTATGCAAAATAGCACAAGAATTGTATAGAGGAAAGAAAAAAGCAAACTATTTAATGGCTTCCCTTGCCAACTCACTTCACCATTTTTTCCCAAACAGGCATGCCTGAAATACGGTTTTGGGACACAAATATGTTGGTGCTATGCCAGCAAGAGAGCAATAGATGATGGAAGGTACTCCTTTGCTATAAATCATACCATGTACAACCAGGGCTCGCACAGCTGAAATTTCAGCTATAATTGATGCCCACTTAAAAGAAATGGACCAAATTAAATTGCATTTTGAACTCCAAGCTGTGAGCACTCAACCAAGCCTTAATTTCTTCTATTAAAATGAACATTGCACAAACTGTTTTACTTGGTAAAATCTGATCTCATTATTTGCGGAGGATGGGATGCAGCTTCCTAACACTGTACTGAAAATCTTGATTCCAGCACACTATTGCTAAATTTTGATAATGAAAACTGAGGAACAAAAAGTAATTTTAATGCATGATAAACAAACACTCAAAAGGTAGTGTGCAACACTTACTACATACCATTCAGTAGTTCAATAAGTGCTGGAATAATCCCTGATTTAGCTAGCAGTGCGGCACAGGAATCATCCATTGATACAGTCCCAATCATTATCACCACTTCCAAGACAAGGTCATCTTCTGCTGAACCTGATAAATTTAATACAGCAGCAATATTACAGTACTCTACTGGGATGCAAACCTCTTTGCTTGAAGATCTTCACAGCATCTCTCAAAATATGAGCAAATCTTGTTAAATTACAGTGACACAATTATTGTTGCCCTGATATAACATGCTGGATCAGCTTTCAATTATCACTCAACATGAACACTGAACATTCTGTCATCATAACTGTTGCACCAATTCTTCAAATACTTATTTACAAATACATTCGTTTAATATAAAATTTAAAATTGCCTGCCCTATGTTCACTGCAATTGCAACTTTTTGAATGATTTCTAGACACTGTAAAATCCATGGAACCTTCCAAAAAAAAAAAATTTTTTTTCCCTCCCCCAGTCCATGCATTTCTGCACCACCCTATTGTGATGATTCAAACTCAAAATAGTTATTTGGAAAGAAAAGGAAGGAAGTAGGGATGTGCTAGTCATACTGTTCCAAGAACAGAACATTCCAGGGAACATTGGCACATTCTGTTTTACTCCTAGACCATGCCAATCCAGCAATTCTACGTGTATAAATTTTTTGGAACAGGAAGAGTTTGTGGTGTTCCAGCTACAATCTGGCCAGCAGGGTCTGCAGCAAGCCACAAGCAAAATGATGACACGTGCATGGTGACATCATGATACCAAATCTGCCCTTATAGCCATCCTGACATCTGAAATATATATGTTGTATTATTTGTATCATGATGCATGTTTCATCATTTGTCTCCCTTGTCCCCCCTGGGCGTGGCTCCAATTCAAACTATGAACCATTTTTACTTCCAGAAGGTTTACTTCTGGAAAGTCTCTGGACCACCCCCAGGATGACTGGGTAAGCAAGGTTGGGAGAAAAATGGAATGTTCCAATGCTCCCCAGAACATTTCATTCTTGGAATGGCATGTTTTGCATATAACTAGAAGAAAGCTTGGATTATTTTATCATTCATGTGGCCCAGTAAACAGCAATTCACAATTTATTTTAAACACAGGAGACAGGAGTAATACAGGAATCCTTCCTAGTACTTCCTTGTACTCTCCAAACAGCTTTCTCTGACAGGCAGCACAGGTTGCTTATCTATAATTGTGGTTCTTCAAGTGGTCATCTCTGAATTTACATATATTTATATTTATACCTGCACAGGCTATCATTTGGAATATTTTTGATAGGAATTTCAACTTCCTCTCTGTGTGTGCTCCTTCAGATTACCTTAACTTCTTCAGCCAAATGCAAGTAGTTACTTTCAAAAGCAAGTATCTATATGGATGTTTGGATGAGTTGTGTGAGTGTTCAGATGATCACCTAAAGAAGTGCAGTTAGAGGTAAGCACTAAGCAAAATTGTCCATACGTAAGCAATACATTTTGACCCCTCCTTTATATTCTCTGTGCATTATACATGTGGATAATTTGAAAACTTTACTTTAGTCCAGAGAATAAAATAGCTCTACCAAAGAATGTATGTGTGTACGTTTTGATGTCCAACTTGCAAAGCTGAGTATACACATGGTTGAGATCAGGATATAGCTCAACAAATCTCATGGAATAGTGCAAAAGAAGCAATCACTCCAGTGGAAAGTGTGTGCCGTCTTTAATTATTAAAAATAGTACATTTATATATTGACCAACCCTACTTCCAATGAAATCATTATTCATGGGACCAGTGTGTGTGTGGGGAGGGAGAGCTGCAGAAATTTATTTTATTATTTTAGAGGGTCATGGTATAGCAAACTTCGTGAAGCCCTGGGTTGGTATATTACAAGTAAAAACCCAACGCTGAGTGAACATCCAAACTCTGGAACATTTTCAATTGTGAGGACAGGAATGAAAAAAATTGTATTATTAAATTACATTCATTCATAAATAAATAAATATAACCCTCAAACCCCATTTGGATAATTTTATTATTTTATCTACCAATATTTTTTTGTATTTGTATTTTTTGCTGCTATTTTAAAGTTCATACTACCCAGATTGGTCATTTTAATCTCTTTTCTCTTTTGTCACACATGTGTAGCCAAAGCAAGCATCTTAGCATTCTTTGATTTAATATTCTCTTTTAGTCAAAATTCTTTCTTTGTATGTACCTTTCTTAATTGCTTAATATCATTGCCCTGATATTGTCGATTTAGTTTTGGATATTTGAATACCAATTCCCTTGTGCTGGTTAATGGCCGCAATAAAGTTATTTCAAAAATAAATGTAATTTCTTTAATTGGAGCAAAAAGAACCCCCAATTTTGTTCATATGGAATGTCAGAATGTTTCAAAATGTTTCTGATTCACTTACTTTCTGAGCAGAGGGAGCTGCCCATTAAAATGATCATTTCAGAGATAAAAGATGCAAGACATAAATTGCCATGGTTTCAAATAGTTTTCCCTTAAGTTCAGAAAAAATTACAAAGACCTTCTATGGTGGGAAGGAAACTGTCCACAACATTTTTGGAAAGTATCTTGTGAGCATGAGAATAAATTCATCAGCCTAATCAAGAAAAGCAATAATGTACCAAAAATAAAGACTACCAGCCAGACATATATATGCAGCTACTGTTATAGTTCAAGTTCAACCTGGGAAACACAAAGCATGATGCTGATTATACACCACCAGTTAAGGGAGATTCAACTCCAGAAAGACAGAACAACTACAACTTGCTGACGAAGGCTGAAAGCCTGTTTGTGTGTACATGCATGCCTCCAAGTCAGTGTTGTGAAACCATAATAGGGTAAGGAATTTATAGAGCTTGCTCAGACTAAAATTGGCCAAAATCTTCCATCCTTTTTTGGAACAATAATATATCAGGAATAAAATTCTGCCTGTTTTTCCAAGGTGGGGATTGCCTCTCTGCAGAACAGAGGACTTACCTTACTGGAGATCTTCCCCAGTAAAGGATTTGCCTTTTTTTTTTTAACATACCAATACAAAGGGTGTCCATCAGAAAGGGAGACATTTTCTGACAAATTAGTACATTTTTGAAGAATTTCCTGAATGCATCCAAAGCAAATAAAACAAAGTTAAAAAAGAAGAAAGTTACAAAAGCAATAAGGAAAAATAAAATAATGCTGAGTAAGAATAATTTTCTACCAGTAAACAGAGAAATGTTCCAGAAGTGTTTAGTGTTCAAAAAGGAATTAAAATAACGTACAAGAATATGACTCAATAAAAGGGTATCTTCTGGTGAAGAGCTAAACTCAAGAACTTTCTGAATGATGCCCCCTGCAGCAACAGATCCTATATGTATGATCCATAGAGTCCAAAAAATGAACCTTTAGAGAGGCATTCAATTAGGCACAAAGGGCTACCACCACAAAGGAAAAATCAGTTTACGTAATTCCTAAAATATTCATATGGACCCACACTATTCAGTGACTCCTTGTATGTGGGATTCCTGGCTCTTCATAGGAAAGCAGGGTGTCTTAGCTATTTTGGATAATATTTTCTATATGCCCTCCTCATTCAAATATGCTGGCTAGGTTTATGGGAGTTGTATTGCAAACAGCTGGAGTATGAAATACTCCATTCTTGTTGGAAAGTTTATGGATGATGAAATATATCTGCATAGTAAATAAGAAGTTATGATTATTTGTTCATGTCTTTTGTATGTGTGAAAAATATCTTAATCTGAGATGCAAGTTTTTCCAAACACTTGGAGTTTTAACCCAGCTATTCCTGTTTGCTAAACACGTACAGTTACTTTTCCAGAGAAAAATCCATGCTAATCACATGCCTACTTCTATATACAAAGTAAAGATACAGACCTGGCTTTAATTTATCTTTGAGATATGGTACCATTTTGTACTCTTTTAATACAAGTTCCCAATCCAAATCAGGTAAGGTCAAATTGGCCAATGTTCCTAAGCATTCTATCACAAATTCCTCCTCTTCGTCATTAGATATCTGAGCAGCTAGATCACCAACATAATCCTAAACAAAGCAAACAAAGCAAGATCTGAGAGATGTAAAAGAGGAAACATCAGGAAATCAATGAGAACCATTGCATTAACTCAGACATACAATTTTTTCAAAACCATTGCCAGGCTGATTATTTACAGTGAAAAACAGAAACAATCAAGTTGAATTAAATGCTTAATAAAACTGCTGTAGACTAATACATTCTATTGGTTTCAGCCCAAACTGAACCAGCCAGAAGTCAGTGTTTACAGTTTTGAATTTTTTTTTTCAAACCCAATTTTCTCCATTCCCCTTTAGATTCAGAAACAGGAAAAAAGTAGTGTAACTTGAATAAAAAAATGAGGGATTGTTCACTACTTTTAACTGCTGTTTTTTCTGGATGAATGGCTGAATTCTGGTGTTATATTCATTATATGAAATTCAGTTTATATGCATTATTGTAGCAATTTTGTTAAGCAGATCAGTTATTATACTTACAAAGAAGATACAGGGTGCTAAGATGGAAAAGACTGCTCACCCATAATGGTGTGAGTAATCATCTGTGCCTTCATGCATATGAGGTTCCATACCTGTGCAGAGCTTATGTCAGGAAATTTCTTTAGCCGAGAATATTTTATGTGGGAAGTCTATCCCCTGCATATCTCATAGGCAGGGCTCCAACTCTCCTCTAAGTTCCCTAGGACAAAGTAGCAGCATCTTCTAGAAATACAGAATGCATGCTGGTGTATACAACTGCAGAGAATGTGGCTGCGTTGTGTAAATGCACTGATGGCTGTTTGAAGAACACAGGTTACAGATAAGAATCTGTTATTTTTCACTGTGGTTTCTTTACATCGCACATACAGTGCCTAATAATCTTACCTAAAACGTGGAAAGTTAAGCGCCAATTGCAAACCAACATGGAACAGCCCATGCAAAGGACAAGAATGACCCTAAGTATTCATTCAGTAATACTTCTACATGTGGAAGTATCATATCATGTTGCTGCCTTGTAGAAGCCTGGAATCAAAACTCCTTGGAGAAGGGCAACTGAGATGCATGTTTCATCAGACTGTGGAAAAGGAAGGCATGCCAGATTATAGTAGAATGCAAGCTTTTCCACTACTCGTTTCATAAAACATTGTGATGAAACTGGGAGCCTCTTTTGGGGAACGTAACAAATAGTTGTTGAGAATGGCAGAAAGATTGTCTCTGGAAATCTAACAAACATAACAAATGTGCAACTCAGTAGCAAGAATGGAAACAGAAGTGGGATGGTTGGAAATGATGCCAGCTTTGAAAGACAAGAGATTTCAAGTATCAGACCACTTTGTTGGCATAGAATTAAAGATCACCCTAAAGGGCAAATAATTCTCTAACATGTCATTCTGACATTATGCTACAAGGAAGATTACACTGCAGGTAATTGGAGATCTGCCAAAAATTTAAACTGCTTTTGTATGTGGCTAGCAAGAACACTTGATACATTCCAATCAAATGTCAAAGGACAGACTGGAAGATAGAGATTAGCAACTAAACTTTTGGGAAATATCTCAGAAGATGAAAGAGAGGAAAAAATGACTCTGTATGGTTTACAGAGATCCTCCAAGTTCTGCTGAGATCTTAGACTAAATGAACCATGCTGACACTTGCAGTGTTTATAGGTTTGAACAATGCAGTTTATCCTGATTCTGGGATAACATGACTTTGCCATAGAAGATGAAAATATGACATCCAGAGGCACCCTAAAGAGACAAAGATCCACATTGGAAACTGATGCAGAAAGAAAAGAACTGTGGTGGATCAGTGAAATGTAAAAGAAGCCCAACTGAGGAAGTCTGCCAGATTATTACCTAACCTGCCAAATACAGTGTGATTAATGAGGAGCTTTGAAGGATGGCGTGAAGGCTGAAGCTGGCAAGATGAGAAGCAAAAACCAGACAAGACAAGTCCATTATGTAAACAGGTGCCTGCCACATTCCAGTTTGAAAAAAGAGCAGCAAAAAGTCAATTAGCATGCAAAGGCAGGAGAAAGACCTCTGATTTAAATCTTGGGCCTGATGCTCACACACACACACACACACACACAGCTGGATTCCTGTGCTCTATGGTAGCCTATCTTCCATGTGAATGAGTTCTTCTAGTCAGTTACACTGTTAGTTGCCTAGTGAGTCCAGAGACAGCAGTTGGGTTGAGTATTGAAAACGCTGCAATTCAAACTATTCCTGTATGAAGTCTGAGAGATGTACCAATTCCAGATACACTGGAATTTCTCATAAGGTTGGCCAGACTCTCTTTCCTTTGTTCAAATAATAACCTGCATTGGCGTTGGCCAATGTCGCTTGAACAACATGGTCCCAAAGGATAGTTTTAAAAGCCTGAATCAGTTTCTCTACTGCCATAGGTTCCAGGGAATTGATGCAGAGGGAGATTGCTTCAGGTATCCATTTCCCATTGACAAATGATTTGGTATGGTCACTAGTACAGGTGCACCCAGCAATCAGGCATGCTATGGACACCAAAGCAGTAACCTGGTAGAGAAGCAAAAAAAATCACAAGAATTGAATATATTTACGTGCAATAAATTGGACTGATCATGACAACTCAATGGGGGATTTTCAGAAGCTGACACACAAATCAAAACTGAAAGGTGCAGTGAATGTGTTACAATAAAATGTTATGAGACAAGAGAACCCAGGAGCCAATGTATGGCTATATGTCATTCAGACCTGGTATTTTGTGAAAACACTTGGTGCTGACAAAACACAAAATGGGAGAACTTGTAATTGGAAAGTCTGAGTCCATGACAAGTCTATGATAATTTTTGCAATATGGCCAAGGTATGGGCATATGTTCCTGAGATTGGTTCATCACAAATAATCCCCCTATGTTGAGTTTCATGGTAAGAATTCACTTGTTTCTGTCTCAAGGGTTTAAAACTGGACAAACCTAAGCATTCTTCTTTGGGATGGTGAGATAGTGGGAATAGCTATAAATGACACAGGCCTCTATGGGACTCGTTCTACTACTGTCTTACGCAGGATAATATGAATCTCCTAAAGTCCAGGTGGTTGAGAAGTCTAAAAAACTGTAATATATAATCACTGGAAAAACTACTGTATAATCAGAAATCACCTTCAAGAACCAGAGACTATGGTAATTATCTCTCTTGCCTCCAGATTGTTAAGAGTGAGGCCTGACACAGATGGTGGACAAGAGAGTCCCCAGGGAGGGATATCAAAGAAACGATTGGATGATTAGTACAGAGATTAAGAAAAGATACACTTAATATTCTGAGTATCAGGCTGCCTGACCCCTGAGGATAACTGAGAGCAGGTAGGCAGGATAAGTAGTACTTGAACAATAGGACTGTGGATGGAATTGTAGGACAGAGCTTGAAGGGTTCTATGTCATGCAATCTTGTATGCTGTTTTCCTCATCTCAACATCCTATCCATGATATTGTCCTTTTTTGCTCAAAAAAGATCTTCCTAATCAAAGGGCAGATCCTCTACTTGATTATAGTATTCCTTTGAAAGACCCAGTGTTTGTTACCATGCCTAACACTGGAGAGCAATTCAAAAGGTTAATGCTGTCGTGTATTATGAATAGTAATCCACTGCAATCAGTTTATGTTCTTTGTCAGCTGGGATGGATTTCACTTGGCTCCTGGACTACCCTAAGACTTGTATTTTGAGCTTTGGAGTGGTTTGTAAAGTGGTAATGGAAGTGGTTCTCTCCTGTTCCCCTTCTCAGTCTTCATCCCCACCCCTAAAAAGACCAAACAAACAAAAACACCCAGGCTTTTGTTTGTTTGTTTGTGACAGGTTAGAAATGAGCAGTGTGCTGCTGGGAGGCCAGTTAATGGCCTTCTTTACACTGTAGGCAATAGCAGTAATAACAAAAGAAATAGCCTGAGTCCGGAAAACCTCTAGAATCCTAAATCATCTATAATTTTTCAAACAGCAACTCCAGGAATATCGGGATTGTGCTAAAGGGATACAATGCTGCCAAGGAGGACACAGATCCTGCATCTCATCCTCTGATGCCATGGCAAAAGTTACAAGCTCATTGTGTATAGAGTTGTGGTCAGACCTTCTAAGATTTAGCGACATCACTAATGGAGGAAGGTGAGGGTGGTATCTGGCAAAGAATTACTCTTCAGACCTGGCATTGGTACCAGAGCATAATGAACGGTGGTTTGGGATTTTTCTTCTTTTTATCCTCTGAACTCTATTTCCTCTTTTTTGGCTTACTTATCTTCAGATGGAGAAACCACACATATTGCACAGAAGTTAATGAGCAAATTAACAAGGATAAGGCAGATGTAATCCCAAATAAAGAAATGACCTTGTCAATTGTGAACTTATTATCACTCCTGATGGGAAACCTGATAGTTAGCCACTGGAGAAGTAGTATGAAGCAAATTACCATTGTTCCAAGGCTATTAGGCACTGTAGGGATTAGGGTACTTGCAAGTGAATCTCCATCCAAGAGAAAGGCTCAAAGCCAAAATGAATTATTTCTTCCAACCTGCTTTGAAAATTTTTGGTAGTGCACACACGTATCAACTACTTGGCCTTCACTGATGTAAATAAGACAAACTCAATATAATAGTAGTTTACTATCATACTCGGACTAATTACAGCCACCGGCATCAGAGTCTATCAGGAAACTCAAGAGGCCAGTGCCCTTATTCTGTTAGTTTGGAACCTTCTCACTCTCTTTTAAAAGAAAGAGGAATGAAAGCACAAAATGGAAGGAGAGAAATAATAACAATCAGAAAAGTTAGGTAGAAATTAAAAACTAAACTCAGTTCCTCACAGAAAGGGCAGAGAAAATTTCTAATGATGTACCTTCTCTGGCAGTCAAAAAGAAACTGAGGGGAGAGCAGAAACCCTGTCTGTCAGCATGCATAGTGGGTGAGCTTCCTGTCTAAAATGTCCACAGCTAAGAAAGATTCCCGATGTAGACCTTGTGCAGGCATAGAGCCTATACACATGATACACAAAAACATAATGAAAAATATGACTAAACAGTTAGTTCAATGTAGAAGTGAAATTTAAATCCATGATTTCTAGGTCTAGAGCTCATTTCTAAGTACCAAAATATATGCAGAAGAGTGATCATAAAAGGACAAATCATATTAACTGACGGTAGCCTAATTTTTCAAAAGGCACATGCAGATAAAGAACAAAAATGTTAAATTAGTTTTATAATTGTCATAGTTAATAATTCAGCATTTGCACAGGTTCAATTAAGGACTGCAGCAAATATATTTTGTAAAGTTAATGACATGCCTTAATTATGAATTGGACAAGTGAAAGGTGCTACACTATTAACAAGCCCTGAAATTCCACACTCCTGTGCAATTCCAATAGAATTAAGGCACATGCAGTCATTTAAACAGGATAAACTGCTGTGTGTAAAATGAGTTTGCTTCATCCAATATCATATTTCAGAAATTTAGAACTTGAAAAGATGAAATTCACTATGCTTGCAATAAACAAGAGCTTACAATAAATAAAGTTTTAGTTGGTCCATCATGTTGAGATATGTTTCTAATCATCTTCATTAACAATGGGTCCTTGAATTTCAGCGCTCTCTTCATCAGCATCTTCAGCCCATTTCCTGAAAGTATAGGAATACAGATGAAAAATTTATGAATCAATTAATTATGCTGTCAATCTCACAGTTGCCATCATAAAGCTGATTTTTTAAAACATAAAGAAAACAAAAATGATATTCAGGTAGGCTAACATCTTCTCATGAAACTTGCTTGAAAGTATTACTGAAGAGCCACTAGTTCATATGTTCTCTTGTACCCCATAAAAAAAACCAAAATATCAGATACTTCTGGCTACAACTATAGTTTAGCAGATTTTCTAGTTCAGCTCAGTTATTCTTCTCCTGCGATCTTACAACTTAGATTCCACTCTCATTGTATTATTGAAACACAAAAACATTTTAGGATGTTAACAAAGCCCATTTTAACAGAAAATTTAAAAGCTCCTCATTAATTTTTAAAATTGCTTTTCTATAAGAGCATAGCCAAGAGCTATTTAAAAAAAGAACAAACAAAAAAGTACATTATTTGGCATCTTAAAAAGCTAATTCTAAAATAAATCCAAAATTTAAATTAGCAGTTGTTATAAATTATTTGGGTAAACAAATACTTTATTTTCTCAAAAAAGAAAGTGCAGGGGCCAGCTATAATGGGGCTCTGTTGCTGGGAAAACTTTACTCCTGACCACTGTGCTAGGAGCCAAACCCACCAGTGAAACTACAAGCAAGGCTTCCGCAGCCTTTCCAGCTGACTCTAATGCAAGAGTTGTGTGGAATTAGACAGTAATCTTTCAATTACCTAGATCCCATGCCATTTAGAACTTTGTGGGCTAGTATCAACATCTTAAATTGGGCTTGATGGCTCACAGGCAACCACTGCTTTCAGGACCGTTGTTATGTGGTCCCATTAAGAGCTGTACGGCATGGTTTATTGAAACAAGGCCATCTTGGTCCAAATAGCAACATAGTAAATGAATCAGCCAAAGCTGGGCATAAGTCTTCTTTGCCACTGAGGCTATCTATGTTTCTAATGACAGGAATGGAACTGAGAAGATTTCCCAAGCTATGGACCTGTTCTTTCAGAAGGAGCACCACTTTGTCTAATACTGGTTACCTTCTAATTCTCAAGCCAGAGAACCACCTAACCACAATACATTTTCTTATCCAGATTCAGATTCAGTTGTTAGCTCCCATCCAGTCCATCACAGCCTGAGACAACTGTGAACCACCTGCACAGTCCCTGATTCTGATGGAGGCAGAGCTGAATGTTGCATACTGATGATAACAAATTCCGAGGACTCGGGATGACCATCCCCATTGGCTTCATATAGATACATAACAACAGAACAGAAAGAATAAAACCTATAGGATCTCTACAACTCAACATTATGGAATGTAGTAGAATAGAAATTGCTCACTGCCAATCTCTGGAAGCAATCTTGCCTCCAATTCACAGACTACTGAGATATTCCAACGGTAATCTGTAATCAGTGATGTCTACTGTGAGATCCAGAAAAATAAACACAAAAATACTCCCCATGCCTTTCTCCCACTAAAGATCATCAATCAGCACAACCAAGGCTTTCTATGCCATATCTAGGCCTTAAGCCAAAATGAAATAGATCCAAATAATCTCTTTTCAAGCCCTTTCCAATGCTCTTATGTTTAAGGTTTTCTTTTGGTGAAATACCATCACATTCCCAAGGAGCAATATTAACATATTTTCAAAGGCACATAGATATAACACATTGTCCCAGCAGTTTTTTTACTTGTATTAGATTATTTTAGCACAAAAAGAGAGGAAATGCTTATAATTTTTTCACACAGTACTAAGATTCTGAATACAAAGTTCAGGATATATAAACACATAGAATTATCAAAAATGTACTAAAGAATTCAATTGTAATTTAACTTATGTATAAGCAGAAATGAGAGCCAGTTTTGTGTAATGGTTAAGCCATCAGGCTAGAAACTGGGAGACTGTGAGTTCTTAGGCACAAAACCAGCTGGGTGACTTTGGGCTAGTCACTCGCTCTCAGCCCTGGGAAGGAAGCAATGGCAAACCACTTTCAAAAACCCTTGCCAAGAAAACTGCAGGGACTAGTCCAGGCAGTTGTCATGAGTCAAAAACTGACTTGAAAAAAGTAAAGTTAAAAAAAAAAAGCAGAATAATTTTCCCAGGTTTTTTAAAAATATTATATTTAAATATTAATACTTCGTGACACACAGTCATTCTAATAACAAAAGACATGGAATGGGGTGTACAGAAGAAAAGAGGTTGAAGAATTCTCTAGTTTTCTACTCATTTTAATTCCTTTCTACCCATTCCTTCCCTTGCTATAAATTACTGTGTTCAACTTGAACACAAGATATTTTGGAAGCTAGGTAAAATAATGGATAATTATATATAATTGCAAAACACAAAAGGATTGTATTATTTTAATCAAAATAATTATTTGGTAGAAGATAAAAATGGAAGTTGGCTCACATGACATTTTCACAAACCCCTCTAAAGCCAGCTGTTGTTTGTTATATTGATCATAGTCAGCCAGCAATCTTGAATATACTCTTCAATACTCACCTTCACAAATTAGTTGTACATTCCTCTTGTTAGCAGCCAAATTAATGCAGAAGGAAATGAGTTCCAGATCAACACGTTCATCGGGACACTCAAACAGCATCTTCATTAGCTAGCAACATATGAATTTCAATCCATTAAAATTTTCAGGATATCAATTTGTAGCAGCATTTAGTGCAGTAATTTCTCTTTAACAGAATAGGGGAATCTTTTGCTATGAAGGGCTAGCAATCCACAGAAAAAGTTAATGAGGTGGCAGTCAGAGGCAACTGATGGATGGGGATGTCTTATAAGATTTGACAATTTGTTAACATGGCTTTGCCATCTGCCCTGCGGATCTGGACGTAGTGGTGTGGAGCCTGCAAAATGGCTGTATTGTTAGTGAGACTGATTGTGCTCTCCTGCAGATTATTTTTTTATGGTTTTAATAATTTTTATTGCTTTAATGGTTTTTAATTATTCTTGTTATTTTTTGGTTACTTTGTTGTATTGTTTTGTGTTTTTAACTTTGTACACCTCTCAGAGTCCCATATGTGAGATGGGCAGGTATATAAATTTACCAAATAAATACATACATAAATAACTGGGAGGTTCCAGAAATTGGCAGACAGAGAAACACTGTTAATAAATAATTCTTTATTTCTGCTATCCATCTCTTCTACAACTATCTCTCAGAAACACAAAGTAGGAAAAAGAGCAAGAAACATACAGAATACCATGTAAATGATCAAACACCACTAGGATAACAGATGACACTTTTTTATGTTTTTATGAACATATGATTATTACAGGTGATACACAAACAAGTATATGAAACAGCAAAATAAATGAATTAAATTATGATAGAGCATTAGCCAAAGTGCAAAGATGGGAGCCGCCCAACTGTCATTCTTTAGGTCTAGACATTTAATATGCCTCATGCCTTGATTTCTTGCTTGTTTGGGGGGGGGGATTACAAGGGGAGAAAAATTTGCCTGTTTTAAAAACTGGAGGATTAATTGTTCTCTTTAAGTTCTTACGATCCTTGTTTATGATCTTTATTATCTATAACCAGTGTCAGTATTTTTATATACTCTGGAAACCAGAAGCTGAATTATTCATTCCAATATGTTCTAGGGTCTGCATCACAGCAGCAGCACTGAATTCGCCTAGTATTTTAAAACCGCTGGCTATTACAATACTTTCTCTTCCTTTAAGTTACGAATCCACTGCTGCTTCTGTTGGCTCCTTCTGCATATGAACAGGAAATGCCAGCAGGCACTCTGGATCTTGTATTTCTTAAGAAAGCATGCTAAAGTGAAAGACATATTTCTATCTCTCAAACTATTTCCTGTAAAACTGCACTCTTGCTCTCTGTGTTCTGAAAGTAGGATCTTGATTTATAACTCACTGTTCAGAAAATTGCTTGGACATAGACAAAACTTCCATAAACTATCTAACCCCTGGGTTCAATTTTCATTGGATATTTTGCTGGGGAAAATAGTTATATCCAACTCAATGCACCTTTGGTTTCCACACAAAATTAAAGCATTGGCTTTCAGTACAAAGCGTCTAAAGAGGCTTGGTACAATCCAGTGCAATTGTATGTATGGTTTTTGGTATCATATTCAAACAACTAACAATGGATAACTAACGAGTTTGTAGAATGATAATTAAAAGCATCGTTTAATAATAATTGAAGCCCAAGCTGCATTTTTTTCTTTCTGAAAAGAGAACTGTTGAGGCAGAGGGGCTGCAAAGTTGATTAAAACAGGAGCACCAGAGGGGATCTTTCTTGTTCTCTACTAGGTCTTTTGGTGATCAAATTGACCATACACAGAATTTCCCCTATTTTTCCATAAGAGGATAAAAAGCAGCCGAAGAAGATTTTTATTGCAAAAATGGGCCTCAAGAATAGTTGTACAGCCCTTTCCTGGAAACTGGACTTCCAGGGAAAAAATGGTGAGCTGAAGACGGCTCCACTAAAAGCAGAGCCGATGACCACAGTGGAATGAAGAGCCTGTGAGTTGACTGGTTCTTTGTAATTCCTCTCCAGACGAGAGGACTTGAGATCACCCACAAGTGCCTCAGACAGTTGCTCCTTGCAAGAAGACTGCAAGACAGCAGTCTCTGGCGGGTTTAGATCTCTGGGAGATGCGGAAATAGCCATCTTGCTCAAACCACAGTCAGAGCCTTCAAAAGGACACTGGGTTCACATACTTCCTTTCCTAATCACTTTTGGAAATTGCTTAACTGCTTTTCAGCTATTAGGAACCTTTGGATTGACAAGTCTGAAAACACTGGGTGAGTTTCCTTCAGTCCTTAGTGAAAGAAATTTTAAAGACAAGTTACTGGGTTCACATACTTCCTTTCCTAATCACTTTTGGAAATTGCTTAACTGCTTTTCAGCTATTAGGAACCTTTGGATTGACAAGTCTGAAAACACTGGGTGAGTTTCCTTCAGTCCTTAGTGAAAGAAATTTTAAAGACAAGTTTAAGGATTTTTTTAAAAAAAAATATTTTTTATTTTTTGGAATAAACAGCAAAAGAGTGGTTAGAACTTTGATTTTGGAAAGTTACAAATGGACCAAGGGTCCAGATGGATTTGAAATAAAATTTTGGAATTAATTATAAGAATCCTTCCCATGGGAAAATGCTTTTGTTTTGAATTCTTTAAAAAAAAAAAGATAGGATGGGACTTTGAAAGTTGGACACTAGAGGGAACCAGAAGGAACTAAAGATTATAGGATGGGACTTTGAAAGTTGGACACTAGAGGGAACCAGAAGGAACTAAAGATTATAGGATGGGACTTTGAAAGTTGGACACTAGAGGGAACCAGAAGGAACTAAAGATTACAATTAAAGGAGAAGAACACTTACGTTTGACTTACTAATACAGAATGGAGCAAAATATTTTAACATTGGACATATTTAAGGATATTTTTGAACAATGGACCCATAAGTTAATTTTAAGAGCGCCTGCCTCTATAGATAACTGTGTTTAAAAGATGTTATGGAAGAGGAACAAGTTTTCCAGACAAGACTGAGACTGATCTGAAATGACAGGCTACAAGAATGATATGGAAAAAGATGCTATACTGGACATACAAAAGAAACCAACTGATGTCTTAATAATTAAAAGGGATATACAAATAACAAACCAAGACCTGGATGTTTTTCTTATATTAGGTTTTCTTGGGTGAGGAAATTGGCACTTGGCTGTAGAAATAAAAAGTAATGATGTGACTTTCCAACAACTTGCATACAGACACAGATTACAGATGGATGATTATGATTATAAACTGTTGTGCAAAACTATACATATATGCTATTATTAATATGTAAACTACCAGCAAGATAGCTGGTCTAATAACTAGGTCATCCTCCTCCTTGCATGCCACCATTTCAGGCCTCTTATGGCTACTATCCATAGCTGTTGCCTAAAGCATTGCCTGCCAGCACTTGTTCTGGAGGCCTTCTGCTTTTTCCGGGAATTACAAGCAATAGCCTGAAGTAACTCTTTTAAGGAACAATTGGATCCTTCCAAGGCTTCCTATAAATGAATAACTTACTGCTATTGCCAGAAAGTGTCCCACTGCTCTCAAGCCTCTACTGTTGAAGACTATGTCTGGCTTTCTAACAGATTCCTTTCTTTTATATGAGTGCCTAAAAGCTGGATGCAATCCAACAATTTATTGGATTGTTCCCTATAATTGCAGGATAACCCAGTTGTCTTTCTCCATCAGCTACATTAAAGATACATCCAGCTTTCCATTGTTTCCTCCTGATCCTAGAATGTCCCCTATCTCCCCTTTGCACCCTTCTGCCCTCCATTAGCCTGACTCATCTCAATAGTGGGAGGAAGAATTTGAGCTAACAAAGATGGAAGCGCCTTTCCTGCCAGTTGTTTGTTCTCAAAAGATAACACTCCTCCTTCTCCACCCACCCAAAGCTGAGAAGAAACGTTTGGAGTGGGAAGAGCTACCAAGCACAATGTATCTGAGGTTCACCTTCCATCAGAGATTATCAGGAGGAGATGGACTTTCCTCCTGCCTTCCGCCCTTCCCTGAGGAGGAGAGTTTCAGATTGGAGAGATGGGTGAACAGGATGCAACAGTGTAGGAAGTCCCCATTCCTTGCTTGCTTTCCAGAGGACAAGGAAATTCCTCCCACACACACTGACTTCTCTGGACAGAAGGACAGAGGAGTGGGACTTCATCAGCTGAAATACAGATGGAACTGGAAGGAAGGCCACATGCTTTTGTGTTTCTTCATGCTTAGGAGAAAAGCTCCTAGCTTTTCCTTGGCCAAGGAAGGAAGTAAATGGAAAGGGACCTGCTATGAAGACTTAGGCAAGAACAGAAGCAAATGGCCTTAGATTAGACAGACCCATTGCAATAAAAATGCACAGGGATCTACCACTCCTCCCACCCAATATAATAAATGTTACTGATTAGTCATCTGACCATATCAGAAAGGTTTAAAAACAATACAGAGAAAACAATAGGACATATTCATAATAAATCGTCACCCCTGCAGTCAACCCCAATCACTTCTAGGTAGTTCTATCCTCTTCAGAATGGTGTTTGATATAAAAATTGCAGTATTCCTACTAATATGCAAGTTTGTTCCCTGCAAGAAGTATGACAGTTTGTTCCAGGTATCCCATTATTTCTTAGATATTAAATAAGGATCTAAATAAACGGTCCTTTCTGCAGAATATAGCTTGAAATCAAATATGGGTGGTATCTTCAACAGCTGGTGCACCACATATACACAGTCTTTCTACAAATGGAACTCTGTGAAACCTCTCATATCTTACCATGGAATTGTTCAAAACGTACTCTAGAGAAAGCTCTTCTAAGATGTTGGGGCATATAATATACTTTTCTATCTGGGAGGCTGATTTGTATTGAGCCAGGCATTTCAATAACTTAGCATGTTTGAGGACAGAATGTCCAAGAATCTTTATTTGGCCTTCAGATTTGATTGGACTGAGAATTGGACAGAGAATCCATATTGTGAGAGATATTTGAAAATTAGGCAGCCTAAGTGCAAGGAGACATAATAAGTGTCTGCTCTTTGAAACACAGCTTGGGTAATCTATCTAGGACCGTAAATAAGATCTTCAGCC